TTAATAGGTCTAGTGATTGTTGTCCAGTTCTAAGGTACCGCGTTTATGTACTGCGCTAGTAAGTGGTGATTAAAATATCTCGAAAAAAGCACAGGGTTAATAGTACTAGATTTCTGGTCACAGCTCTCTTCCCTAGCCCTATAAATGACCCCTCATTAAGACATCTTTTACGAATCATAATTTCATCGTCATGAAAGCCAGCATTATCATACTTCCAAAAGGTTATCTGCTTAACACATTGGCTTAAATCATGTCATAGTCCAGAATTTTAGTCACAGCTGGCATGCAATTTAACTACAGATATTGTACTTCTATTTAAATCATCACTTGTTCGATAAACATTAATATCTGGCTTTTCTATAGTTGTGAAGCTTCAAAAATATCACAGTGAGTGACAGCCCATAAACGGAATCAATAATTACTACTATTTTTCTTAAAAAAATATTTGAGTAGTCTACCCATGAATGAGAATACCTTAAACTCCGTAGAATCTTTAAACTTTTCAGAAACATGAGGCATCTCATTGTAACCGATTCAAGAGCATGCATTTTGTCAACGAAAGTGAGCACACTGCTTACGAAATCTCACTAGGGGGCTTCGTTTAAACAAGATACGGGTATTCCCACAGAGCAACCCACTGTGAGTTTCTTCCTGGTCCGGCCTCATCAGGTTTATGTTTCAAAATCGATCACCGCTAGTTAAGTGCCACATCATTATACGTGGCTAGTAACTCTCAAATTATTTTCACTTATGTTTTTGATTTGTCAAGAAATTCAACTACCCAAGGGCAACCAAATGTTTTTCATGAATTAGAAATAAAGAATAGCATACGTTTTCTTCGTGCAAATCAGCCGATTTAAAGGTGATTTGCTTCCGTTGCCCCACTGATTTATGTTACGTGACCGAAAACTCATTTACAAGGTAATGTCAACTGCTCCGAAACTGTCACGTGTGTGGAACGGTTTTTATGTCAGCTGGCATTGAGAAAACAGATACCATTGGACTCTGCTGCAAACTGACTAAACTGTGGCCGGTAAGTATTGGGCCACAACGAGGGTGCCCTAATTTACAGGACTATTGCCTTTACACACAAGAAGATGAAAAATTATATTTTCTCCTATTTAACCGGTGCCATCCGGTGTAGAAACACTAATTCAGACGCATGAGATCACTGCAACCTTGATTCCATTCCCACTACATCTGGTTAGTTGAGCAGACAGATGGGAATTCTTTTGATCATCAACAAATAGAGGGACATTTGTTTTAATTATTGTTTTCCGAGACAGTTTGAATTTTTTAATCAATGTACAAGAATTGCGCAATCCTAACTAACCAACGGTGGAAAATTAACTCAACGTGAGTGCAAACCACACGTTGCTTTCCACTCATCAGTTTGTTTTGTTTGAACTTATTCTGGACACGTGCGTGTGTGCTACTCACACTGATTTTATGTTATCAGTAAGCAAAGGTTTCTTGGTTTTCTTCCGACATTTCGATAATTTAACCAAAGATGTTGACGGTTAACAACTTTCTCATCCTCACTCGAAATAAATTGCTTTAGAACATGGCCGAGTACAATCCCATTTTGAGCCACTCTATAAAAAGACACTGCACTGTTGTATCTTGTGCATCAAGTCGCCCGCCGATCTAAGACTCCCGGGAATTGTACGTAACACCACATCCGGCTTACGGTCGACCGTCTGTCTCTCATTCTGTACGCAGCCATCAGGTGGTTTCAACTCTGTTGACCGGAAATTTCTGTTTCCCTGACAGCCATTCTTGAAACAGGTCCCGGAAAGGCCATCATTTCCAAGGTACCACAATAAACGTGAGAGACGCATAAAATCACTGGTGAATAATTGTTCAGCTGTTACACCCTTTCTGTGACATGCCACTCGAAGAGATTATGATCTGTGGGATACATCGAGTTTGCCCAGTCTAAGACGGAAGCAGTTGAATAACAGAGGTTGAATTCAAACAATGGACCATTTGAACCATTGAGTTTTCAACTTGGCCAGGGAGCCACCCAGGCCCTTCCTCCATTTCTGGAGGAGGACTTTTGCAGACACTTTTTCATTTGAACTCATTGTTTTAGGACTCATTACATGACTCAATGGCCCCGGCATCTTATTTTTTGTTACACTTTTAGAACTGCTGTACAAAACAAGAGTTTAACAAGGTCTAAAAAGACCACTGTTGCTTACTTCGTTATCTGCCCACCAACGAAAGCTGTCTATTTAAATTAAGAAAGATTCGCATTCGTTTAGGTTTATGTACGCAATTCTATTAGTTCGTTACCCTTAGAAAGTCATCACAGTTGTTTCTATTTTCCGGTTCATGATAAGCAATTACAATAAATTCTCTGTTTTTTTACCAGCTTTTTTCATGAGCAATTAGAGGGAGGAAGTTTGAAACATTTTATTGTATGGCTCAGGTGAGTTATTACATGGCACAGTTTTGGCTGTCTTTTCCTAAAAATTGCTATCAATTCACCGGATGGAGTTCATATTTTTCCACACTTAGATGCACATGGCGGTATTGGGAATTCGCCACTACAATCTACACGATTAGTTACGTTTTGCAACTTGTATTACCGTCAGTGGATGTTCTTCAACTGTTTTTCGCTCGTAACTGAATCTCCAAACGCAGGTTTTTAAACACCGTTTTGTAAAATGTTCCTAGAAGGACAAAGTGAATCCGATTGTGTCGTCTCTTCCATTTCATAAATTTAAAGAAACAGATAGAATATGGTGAGACAGAATAGTTAGATTCAATCGCCTTCCCAGAACCCTGAACAATTTTGGCAGTTTTTCTTGTTGACGGTTCAACGATCGTAATTTAAACTCGTTAGCAAGCCACTGCTCTTTAGTTTTGTCAAAGCTCTCTCAAGACTCTGGCTCCAACAGCCAAACTTAAACAGTCAACAATCTTCAGTTTGAGTTCAAGGTTCTCCTCCGTTTGTGTTGATTCAAAAAAACATTTGGCTTGTGCTAGGTGTACCTTAGATTTTTAGTTTCCCATGTGCATGTACGCCCCGATAAACTTTAGAATCATGAGATGCAACGTAGGTCATTCCGAACCCTGAAATAATATGATAGATGTTGCTGCCAAAATTGTATGAGAACCACGAAATCAATTGAAAAAGTGTATAATTCGCTTAAATATTTCCATTTTGGTCAATTCGCTCCAAAATTTGTATAAATCCAACGTGCACAATTCCGAGCTGAAATGCATCATGGAGTGTTACACAGGAAATGCATACATATTACGCTATTTCATATGTTTGCAATTATAATCAGCTCTAAATTTTGTACCGTTTTATTGCAAAGTGCTTTCTGATTACAACAATCTATCCTTCTATTTCCTTTGGGTAGGGTGCCGATTATCCTGCGAGCAAATTACTTTGATTGAAAAAATGGCATACAACCAGTTTTTATTTAAGTCAGATCCCCTTAAAACCTGAAAATAGGACGAACTGATGCGCCAGCCAGAAATCCTATCCTTCTAAACTACTAACAAACTTTTCGCTTAGTTTTATCGAGCCTCGTTTTACCACAAATTTTTGACTATCATGATTTCAGTTTCTTGATAATGCTACATAAACTACAGCGGAACTTTAGTTCTTGACCTCATAGCACTGTCTAAATTAAATCCCAAGTAAACATGCCTAGATTAGGAAGTTATGTATGACCCAAAACCGAGTGCAACCAAAAATAACTGACTCATCAGCAACAAAACCATCTCCAAAATCCAAGTTGAACTGGAGGATACATGCATCATTGACCAACAGGTGCAATATCAGCTGCTGATTTGGGCACGGATCATAAGGTCACACGGTATTTCGGGTAGAGATGTCCTGAACCTAAGTAGATATTGTGGAATTTGTTAATAAAGCAAATCATCGTGTTACGTTTTACTCATGCCGTGGCATGCTACAACGCAAACCGGACGGAAACCATTCGCCATAGTGTTAGCCTAAGAAAGAATGAACAAAATGGGTTCGTTTTAGACGTTTCAAATGATGTAATGAACCAATAGTCGGCGCTTAAAATTTAGCATTAAAATGTGATCGAATTATGCAGAATAACTTGTAGCCCAATTAGACAAAGGCTAAATGAGGGTTTTGAGAATGCATTTGAGTAGTGTGAATGCACATTGCTATGGTTCATGCAATAAAATAAATAATACATATATAACATAAAATACATAAAATACACATTTCTCTGATAAGTTGGCCTGTCAATAGAAAACTCGTTTAGGATGTGCAATTGGCGTAGTAGTATGGAAATAAAGATTACATACAGAACGAACGAAGGGCTTTTCGGTTGAGGGTTATTTATTTGGGGCAGCTTTACAAAACCAAAGTCATTTGCAGTTGCCCTAAGCATCTTTACTATTTAGTCCAAATGGTTATTTACAGTAGAAAATCATGGCGAAACTGAGCGGAATTCCTCCCGACAGTCTATCATACAGTATTCAGCCAACAAACTTTATTTAAGTACCAAATTCGACGTTAAACGGACAGACAGGTAGTTAGTTAAATGGGCGGATTAGTGGAAATGTAGGTAGATATATAGAGATAGATAAATAGATAGATAGATAGATAGATAGATAGATAGATAGATAGATAGATAGATAGATAGATAGATAGATAGATAGATAGATAGATAGATAGATAGATAGATAGATAGATAGATAGATAGATAGATAGATAGATAGATAGATAGATAGATAGATAGATAGATAGATAGATAGATAGATAGATAGATAGATAGATAGATAGATGATAGATTAGATAGATAGATAGATAGATAGATAGATAGATAGATAGATAGATAGATAGATAGATAGATAGATAGATAGATAGATAGAAGATAGATAGATAGATAGATAGATAAGTACAGATAGATACACGTAGATACAGATAGATAGAGATAGATACAGATAGATACACATACAGATATGAATAGATGCACACATACGTACACACACATACACACCTATGCACATGCATATATAGGGATAGATATTGGAAAGTGTTTGCCTGAAAAATAGATAAACCAGCAATAAAACGACAGGTTAGATCACTTAATAAACACAGGGAGCTTTCGGCCAATAAGCTTTCGATTACTATAGTAAGAATTATTTTTAAATCATCCAGAAAAACACTGTTTCATTTGAGATCTAAGGCAACAACATACGGTTTGGATGAAAATATAGATTTTGAATGCTTACTTGAGACTACGACCATTTTTTATCAAAATTTTGATACACTTTCCTACTCAGTCCGTTTTTGACTAATTACCTCTGACACTTCCGACGTTCAAAGCGCTCATATTACGAAAGTTTGGAACTTTTTGAGAGAAGTAAAAGATCACATAATTGGTGTGCGTCTGCACTGATATTTTGGGTTTATTTCGGGAGAAATAAACTGATAAATCAAAGGAAGATTTTTGTTGTCGATTAAGTAATTTTGCAGAATACTGATCGTTGGGATGAAAATTTTTGGCGGCAATCACTAAACTTGTTTCTACCTGTGAAGAGGCGGATATATTTATAAGTAACCAAAGTAAGTAGATGAATTTTTCTGTTTTTTTGTTTCCAGTGCTGATAAAGGAGTGCGCATATAATACCTTTTCACTCCAGCAAGATTTCAGGTACAATTACTAGAAATAATATCCCGAGGCTCCTGATTTGGCAGTATCTTATTCTGATCTGCTAAAACCGCTATTTTTTACGTTGAGGTTTGACTTCTGACGCTTCAGTCCAAACGTCAGACTGGCTGGTACAAATTTAGTCCGAAGCGCTTAGGTGTGGTACTCCGTTGACGTAACTGTTGATTATATTTTTTTAGTTTGTCTATTAGCAAACGGTCAAGTTCTCTGAACTTTTAACACTTTGTTCGACCAAGTTCCACTACGCTTCTGAATCCTTCGGCTCTCTTATCTATGATCTAGAAACCACAAAACCTTTAAGTCTTCTTTATTTACTCGCCTACTGAGCACTTTCTAGTTTATTGCAAGTGTGAATCAGACTTTTGTCCACAGCTAAGGCGATAGCAATCCACCCACACAATCCCGAGCCTTGGATGCTAATGCAACCCGCAAAAATTTAGGCCTGCCTTTTTCTGCAATCAGCCCCTTCTCACAGTGTTTCGGGAAATGGTCAAACTCGTTCGAAAATAAAAATATGACCTCCAACTCTTGTGGTCTGTTGTAAATGGCAATGTTATACATGTAGTCACCAGAAGAAATCAGTTCGCGTTTCTTTCACCATGGCCCTCCGAGCCTTCTATTTATCGGCTGCCAAGATTTAAAAGAATTTCAACGGCTCTCGGTTCAGGGACATTCGTTGCACCGGAAAACTAAGTTACCAGTCCGCGATCCACTCAACAACTTGCTCACTCGACACCCAACCTAGCCAATAGATCATAAATATAGATGAAGACATGTTTGTAACGCTGACATTTTCCTGTATGATAATATACAGATATGTTGGATAGACGTATAGAGAATATATGTAAATCATTTGCCTCAAAAGTTTCCGCCTTCTTTGAATTCCACATTAAAGTAAGCACAAAGGTGTTTCATTTTGTGAAAGAGACATTTTTCATACCCTACTGAGATATTTAAGAGTGTGCGAAAGTGATCTCGTGGAGACTTGTCCACCGGTAACCGCATATTAATTTCCAATAATCTCAATCAGCCGTTTAAACTCGATCTCTTGCGGTTTGTTCGCGACAACGATCATCCAGCAATATGTATCTGCGCACGTTCAGACTGATCACTGTCCTTCCGGGGACTGGCGGTCTGTTTGTGTGCACGCTCCTGGCGACCTGTCTCACCTGTCTATGTTGGGTTGATAGGTATGCGGTGAAACCTTTTGCAGATTGCCCACCGACTAGTGAATGCGTTTTTCTCGTCCGCTCTGTTTTAACCTGATAATTAAGCTCTTCTTTGGGATTTGTTATTTACCCGGTTGTCATAAGTAATTTTTTCTAATTTCCTCCTCGGGCTACAGTTTTTTTATTGGTTAATAAATTGCCCTTCCACATCTTTGAGTGAATGCTGGAGACATGACCGTGGAAGCTCCGCCGTTCGCGTTGAATGTGATTGGAAGGAGACAGGACTGGAAATGGTCTGTCGTCACTCCCAACGCACTTCCGAGTTTCGGAGAAAATTTAACGTCTCGTTCTCAAACCAAACGGGGTAGTGGTGCGTTGTGTCCAAACCTGTTATACTCTATCCTAGATACAGACATTTTTGCAAGCCCTGCCATACTGGGAACGAGATCTTGGTAGAAGCAAACTGTTAAGTAACTCAATAGTTAGAATTGCCAGTGGACTGTAGGACATTGATTTAATCATTGATATATCGAAACAGTCATGAGAGGTCTATTGTGGCATCTGTACAAAACATTTTCAGAATCACAGCGAAAGAATTCATATTCAAGAAAGTACAGAGAACAGCGGGCTACGAGATTAATTAGAAGTGGATTCACCGTTTACCGCATGATAAAGGAAAAAACACTTCTGACGTACTAGGGTTGCTGAAGGATAGCCTTACCTAATATTCTGACCTACCAAGTACTATTCATAAACTACTTGCCATGTTGACAACTACCTTGGACAAATTTCACGTTTCAGAACATTGCAATCACTTGGCTACTTTCTGATATTTGACATAATATGATGAGAACAAAAAAGTACTTCAAGGATACAGAGACAGATTTACTATATACGTTGGGTAAAGATAATAAAAATCCCTTTCCTGAATGTTGGCTCGATTGTTTGCGCACGGCTTTAAAACAGCTTGATGTGACCCGATGAATCATTCTGAACGATTCCATCGCATCGAACTAGTGGACGGTATCGATCGGGTGAGCAATGACGCACTTTGCCGGCTGCTCTAATCCTTAAACAGTTTGGTTTATGCCCACGAGTTCTCTCAGATAGGTGTCGAATCGTGCGACCCGCATTGTTGGCTGCGAGCTATCAAATAAATAAATAAGTGAAAAGTGATAAGAAACAAGGTGTTGATATGTGCTGGAGGAGGATGTAGGGCAGTGTACAGCAGTTGGGCTTCACTAAATGTTCGCCTCAAATCAGAGCTGAAGCAACGAACCGTTCCGCTCCTAAAATAGCGGTTAGTCATTTTCACGGTTGATGGGCTTCTCAGGGCTAAACTACTCCATTTGGTCTGGAGCGCTTTTTCATGGACTGCTCGGGCTAATTTTTTGTGCATCAAAATTTTATGGACAATTTGCTCTTTGAAATAAAGCTCATCACTAGCGCGGATTTTTAAGCCCTCTGGGGCAGATATTTTGCTATTTTTTCTTGTGTCCCATTATCATAAAGCTGTATATATTGTTATGCTGGTTTGACCGCGTAGATCTCTGGTTTACTTGGTTCTTCCTCCTTGGTTTCGCATTCTGGCATTGTATTCTATTTTTCCCAATATTCTGTGTCTATAAAAATAATTTTCTGAAGTTCAACTTGATGAGTCGTCACTTGTGACACAAGTAAGCTGAAAAAACAAACGGCTCCAGCAAAAAGTTGCTATGGTTATCACAAGTGTGCGTCACTGCACTGATCCGAAATGTGCTTTATCCAGTAGATTTGATGAGTAGCGCCTATTAAGATCCTGACCAAAATCAAAACAAAAAGAAGGACGTTTGGGTCGGCAGTGTAATAAGTGGTCAAATCTGATTGACGGCTTTGTACTTTGTTAAACATTTTATGAAAAGACGCTGTGTCGAAGCTAGATGAAATGTGTATGTAATTAACTTAACTGGAGAAACTGATGTGGCTATTTACGAAGATCGGGGGTGGGGACAAACCGTGAGAAACACCAGAGGTTGCTTTTAGTCCTTACTACAGATCACACTCTTTGAGAGCTAAATGCCATATAGTCCACCTAGCACTCAAACCTGTATATAGTAAGGGCAGAAAATTTTTACGTGGAATCAGGGATTTACTGGTGGTTAAACCCCCCAGAGCATCACTTTGATTAGTGCTCATTGATTGTGCAAATTTAGATTTGCCTCGAGCAGCATTTTGCTTCGATATCCACCATGGTTCTTAACACGGCAAATTGCCATTTATCACAACCAGATATTCAGAAAAATAAAATGAGGAAGCTTCTTTACTTCTACGCAAGTGATAGTTGTTTCCTTGTAGCAGAAACCCCTCGGGTGTCGCGTGTTCCGTAATAGAAAAGGGAAGCTTTGCTTTCTATTTAGCCGAATAATCAGATTTGTGGTAATCTGATTACAACTAGACACTGTTGGAGTTATTTCCTCATGTATGTGAGGCCAAGCGTTTACATCAGTTAAATGGCCGCACGATACAACGTTCAACTCGTAGCAACACATGTCTCTTAACTCCAGTCGTCACTACCGAATTGGTTCAAAATAAAATTTCATCCACATTGCACTCTAATTTACCCACTCATTTTGTTTCGGTTGATGTAGACAGAAATGGTTTCACTCTACTATTCCTTGTGCTACAATTGTCCGCAATTGAACACTGGACTCACTGCAGCAGCGTCAGTTGCTAGTCACATATTTCAGCACTGATGCCGCAGCAGATCACTCATTTAGAGCTTTCTACTTGTCATATAACTTGATTCTTGAATTCTCTTGATATCGCGCCACCGGTCAGTCGTTCTTCACCATTAAACCAACTTTCTCAGTTAAGATCAGATTGAGTAAGTTCGGAAAATATTGCGCTCACGTTTAAACTACTCTCAGCACTTCTGTTCTGACGCAACTATTCTCGCTTTTCACTCTTTTCAGAGTTCATCAGCGGTGCGTATCCGCTGTGCCGGCAGTGCCGGTGTGCACACTCTAGACATCTGCAAGACAATCATGTTTCCACTACTTAAGCAGCGCACGCTGGAAACACGTGAATTATCACGCCTAAACAGGCGGACGTGTTCACACTTGAGCGGTATGATTGGTTTGCCTACCACCTCGAACGACGTCTCAGTAACCGTCCGAGTTTTGCCGAACGATTGACCCTCATTACATGATTTTAGTCCTGTC